ATGTGTGTGTGTGTGTGTGTGAGAGAGAGAGAGAGAGAGAGAGAGAGAGAGAGAGAGAGAGAGAGAGAGAGAGAGAGTGTTGGATACCCTAGAGTTAACAGTGGTGAGCTGCCATGTGGGTGCTGGGAATTGAACCCAAGTTCTCTGGAAGAGCAGTCAGTGCTCTTAACCACTGAGCCATCTCTCCAGCCCCAACCTTAAACATCTTATCGCCCTGCCTCCACCTTCCAAGTTCTAAGATTTCAAGTGTGTGTGACCATACCCAGTTTATGCAGTGCTGGTGGTTGAACCAATGACTTTGGGTGTGCTAATCAACTGAGGCACATTCATAGCCCCTGAGTGAGTTTCCAATAGTATTCCCAGGACTACCCAGAGCCTTCACATATCCCGTATAAAATAATGGCATCGTGACCATTGTGTGGAATATACAATGTAAACAATGAGTGACAGAATAAAAAGTAGACACGCCCATTGTAACCTAGATGCTATCTACGCTGAGTGTTGGATTTCAGCAATATGTCTCACCATTAAGGTGAGACAAAGTGACTTTATAATTGTAAATCGTTGCTGTTGAAATAAACTTTTAACTCGGAAACTGTCTCCTCTCCTTCCTCCCCCACCTAAATCACCAGGTGCCTGCGAAACCTGATTACTTGCTCATCCTACTGAGCAGCTGCCCAGCCAGGCTGGAGGAGAGCGACGGGCTAGCTTTCCTAAAGTCAATTTTGGAGAAGACATCGATGAAAAGGTCCTTTCGCAACGGAGTCGGCTCGGGGGTGAAAAAAACTTCATTTCAAAGAGCAAAGCAATGAATAAGTGTGCAAAGGACTCTGGGAATGAATCTCCAGCTATGTAGAGTGTGACTGATGCATCCTCCCATGTGGTGTTGCTCCCCTCCCTATCCTCAGACGGTGCCCTCTTTCCTAACAGCTCAGAGGAAATTAAGTTTTGGGGAGGGGGGAATGCAAACTTGTCTCAAACTTCCATCTGTGAGTAAAAAAAAAAAAAAAGATTTCTGGGCTTAGCCAGTCACGTCCCCGACTGCAGAGGGACACGCTGGCTTTGATCTTGAATTGGCCACAATGCATGGGCGTTTTCCCTGCCCTATTAGTGTGATTCTTCTCCTGCTGTCTTGCTGTGCTGTAGCACCAAATGCAGAGGTAGGGATATGCTACTTCTCCTTTAAAATATGATTGGGTGTCTCAGATGGCTCAGTGGAGCCGAGCCTTCCAGGTTGTGCTACTTCTGTTTGTAAAAGAGTCCCCCGAGAAAGTCCAGCGTGAGGCTGAGTGGTGTGGCTGGGTCTATCAGTCAGCTAATTGGTACCTGAAGCAAGTCATCTCCGAAGAAGCCCCCTGGGTCTGTTCCCCCCACCTCCTTTTTCCGATTCCAAATATACATAATGATGGCGACTTGTTTGGACTTGGAAAAATTATTTTGTCTCGACTTTTAAAATCTTACAACATGAAACACTGCCAGCCATAATGGTGATCCCTAAGAGTTGGCTGGTGCTTGTGTGGTAGGGGGTATATTTCTGAAAACCTTGCTGCTGGGTGATTCTGGCCCCCATCCTTGTCGGGCCAGGCCAAGTGCTATTTCTTGGAGACTCTGGACATTGATTTTTTTTTTTTAAGAACAATGCAGGGCTAGGTTGGTGATGATGGCTCAGCGGGAAAATGCTGATGATGTAAACATGGGTCCCTGGATTTGGATCCCTGGAACCTATATAAGGAGCCAGGGTGTTTGTCCTTGCCTGTTGTAAAAGCAAGCTGCTTCCTGGTTCATGTGTGTATTCCCTCTACTCTTGGTGCCCCAGACATAGACAATTCAGGTTGGAGAAACATAGCAATGTGTGCACCTGCTAGTGGATCTTTTAGGGTTCTAGGAACCTCAAGGAGACACTTTGGGAAGCACAGAAAAAACATCCAAGAATGGAATGGAAGGTCTTCTGTGCTGCTGTGTGTACCCACCTGAAACCAACCAACCCTTGTCTCCTCTAGGCAACTGCATCCTTCTTGTAGACCCATTGATGTGAAGCCTGTGCTCTCCCGTGATGTCTATCTGCCCCAAGCTTTGGGCCACTCAGTGACTTCCCCACTCCAGTGCCTGATATCTGGGCCTTCTTCTTTGTGTTCCTTTTGGGGACAGGTTTCCATTGCTGATCTCTTCCATTCAGCTAGCTGTGCAGGGTTCCCTGTCTAAGGCTGAAATACACATAGACAAGCTTATATACCACATACCTATACAAGCACCACACGCATGTGCACATATCCCGTATATGTACCCACACTACACACATCACACACATATCACAATACACCACACACATGCACACACATACAACACACACACACACACACACACACACACACACACACACACACAGACAATTGAAGGGCTAGCCTATTGTCAAAAGCACAGCTTTGGGTCTTGCTGTGGACGTGACCTGTGATCATCTCCAGGACAAGGAAGAGCATTGCAGAGAGTGACACAGAGATGACAGACACAAGATTGGTCACCTAGTTGCCCCCTCACCTGTCCATGAGCCTCGAGCTCACTTAGTCAACAACCACAATGGTGTCCACAGTTTCCCTGGAGCGTTCCTCCAGCCAGCAGCTGTGTGAAGGTGGCACCAGACCATGGCTGGCTCTTTGGCCCTTCAGTCACCATTTCTGCTCTCAGGATACCTGAGATGGAAGGCGGAAGCTTTCCTGAAAGTGTTGAAAGGAGTCATTAATTCTCACATGGAAGGAATTGGTGCCATCTCCTCTAGTCACCATTTGGACTGGGTTCCCTTCCCTCTAAGGGCCCTAGAAGGGGCTGAAACCATTGATATTTTTAAAATATTTCTGAAACCATAAGCAAAACTTTCAAAGTGGATACAGTTGTTTTAAAGAGAGAAAAATCACTGTTCCCTAGTTTCTTGTCAGTGGGTACAAACAGAAAGATGAAATCCCCGTGTGGCCAGGACTGATCACTCTTTGCCCTTTATTTTCTGCCACTGAGTCTGAGGCAGAGGCTTTAGACAGTGACAGCTCTACTCTCAGAACATCTACACAGCCAGGGATCTGCCTTCTGTGATGGTCATAGGCCCTGCAGCACCTAGAGTCCTGACGGTCACCATAATAAGAACTTCCAGTAAAATGTAGAAAGCCTGGCTGGAGTGTGTCAGGGAGCTGTGTGCTTCGTATCTTCCCAGAATTATTGATGGAGAAGCTAATGAGGTGACCTCATGGCTGATATTTCCAGCTTTGTGGAAGGAAGCAATTGCTGCGTCAATTGTGACAAGAATTAGGCTCCCTTTATGTGAGAAAGGAGACTGCTCCAGTAAAGAGTCCTCCTAATTTTTTATTGTTTGCATTGATATGAGTTGGTTGGAATAATAAAACTCCATAAACGTAATTGACAAATTTCCCTTCCCACTTCTGAATGGAAACTATTGACTCTTTGGCGAAGGGGGAAGCTGTGAAAAGGGTCTGCTATCAAAGGGTCAGAGGAGATTGTAGGCGGCCAGACAGGGAAGTTCTCTTTGGGGAGGAAAGCTAAAAACTTCTTTCCCAGATTCCTGGGATGAAGTGTTTTTTGACAAAACAGTATTCTGAGTTACCAAAGATGTGGCTGAGAAAAGTCACTTCGATCTTTGGGGAATGTGAGCCTGACACCATGAACTGGTTTTGGTCACCGTTGCAAGCAAAGTCACTGCTTGAGAAGGTGTCTGCCTGGTGGGATGGGGTGGAGATGGGAAGGAACCCAGGGCCCTTCACCCCCTCCTCACCAAGAGTGTTGGTGGAGGCCAACATTTTACTTGTCTAGCTGAAGGCTCTGGAAGCCCTTAGAACACAAACATCCATCCCACAAGATGAATTGTTACTTATTTCCCTCTGACTTACCTGAACAGGACCGAGTTTCATGTTCTGCTGGAGAATTCTAGTGGATCGAAAGAACAAGAGCCAGTGGGAGCCATGGGTATCTGATGAGAGGGGATGATGGTTTGGAAGAGTTAAACACAAAGCCAACAAGGGAGGAGGCAGGAGAGCCAAGAACCCCCAACCTGAGGCTGCCCCCAAAGCCCACGGCCACACTATCATCCAAGCTTCTAGAAATCTTCTAACTCTGAGCTTCCCCAGCACGAGTCAGAGCTGGCATTATGTATCTTACCAGCTTGCTTTACATTTACTGGTAATTCATTTGCTCAGAAATATTTGCTGAGCTTGTACTGTACCCAGACAGTGTTCCAGACACTGGGCGTGCAGAGGTGAAGAAGATAAAACTCTTGGATAAAGTGGAGATGTAAATACCATACATGTCAAATAGTGTGAGGAAGGTACACCCTGTAAAACGGACAAACTGGCAGAAATCAGACAGGGAAGTTAATATTTCATATGTGTCTAACACTATTGGTAGGGAAGCTAATTTAATAGCTGAGTAGATATTATTTAACAGGCACATATATGTAGATTATATTCTATGCATTTGTGAAATAGTACATATATTCAGATATCGTGGTCATGTATATATATTTATATATGATTATTATCAATTATGTAGATGGAGGTAGTATCTTAGGTGGTGGTAAAAAGGAGCAGTGGGGCTGACAGAGGGACAATTGTGGGGTAGGAGCAAGAGGACGACTTCAGGTACAGTTGTTAGGGAAGGTGCCTCCAGGGGAGATTAGATCACATAAAGTACAGAGACCAGAAAAGTAAGAGGGTCTCTGAAGGGTCTTGTAAGTCTAATGCTCTTTCTATGAGGAACACAAGGAAGCCCTGAAAGTTTCTAGCAGACCTGTGCCTTCTGGCCTTGCTGACTTTATACATGTGAGACATGAAAGAGTCCTCTGGTCAGTTTGAACAGCGTAGCGATTAATCACTGCAGGTAGGACACCCAGTGATACAGCCTGTCTTCCCTCCGTGCCTGCTCCCATTATGTCTGTAGAATAGCCAAACTGGTGGTAGGCTTCACTTATTTGTTTTTAGGCAGGTTCTCTCTGTATAGCCCTGACTGGCTGGCCGGATGACTTGGAACTTGCTGTGTAGACCAAGCTGGTCTTGAACTCACAGAGATTTGATGGCCTCCACTTTTTGGGTGGAGGCGTATGTCACCATAGCTGGCAGAAACATCCCAGCTGTGAAATGACTTGTCAGGTCCTGAGCAGGGATAGTGAGCAATATCCAAGATGCCAAGGACACTTGGAGTGACAGAGGAATTACTGATTTCTCCCTTCTCCTACCCTCTTTTCTCTGATCCCTCATGCCCCTGCTCTTCTTCTGACTCTCTGAGACTCTGGGAAGACAGCAGGATTCCTGCAGGGTTCAACAACTTTTTTGTGTGAGAGAGAACAAGTTGGCTTCAGGTAGGGACCAGTGGAAACAGAGTGAATATAAAGAGCAGAAAAGACAGGAGGGAGGGCACAGTAGGAGATGCAGACATCCTGGAAGGTCCAGGAAGCATTAGCCAGGATGAACTGTTCCCCCTGAGGAAGGACCACAGGAGCAAGGAGAAAATGACTGGATCCAGTTCAAACTCAAAAGCCAGAAGTTACAGGCTACAAGGCTCCTGAAGAAGCCAGCCTACAGGGAGCGGGAAGCTCTGTGCTCCTGTCCGTAGCGCGACTTTGCACATCCTTGGGCAAGCAGTTCGGTAATTATCAGAGTGACTTACGGTCACTGCCAAGAAATGACATTAGCTGGAGTCATGCTTCCTGCCACCATGATGGAAACCCTCCAGGTACATAAAAGAATTATGGCTTATGGCTCTTTTATAGTCTTGAAGTGAGATGTACAGCTCAAGCCGAGGCAGAGTTCTGTCCCAG